CCCCAAAAGCTACGTTCTCTCGATGCGTCTTTTCGGCACAAAATTGTTTTGTAATCAGGAACATTTTAAGGAATTGAAGCTTGATGTAACTTTTTTGATTGTAATCTCTATATTCAGGTGGCTCCAAACATTTGTTTATTCCGCGATCGCCGAATTCCAAGTAGTGTGTGTGGCTTGCTTGCTAATTTTCGAGAGACGAACAGTCGGCGCACGCTCTACGCACTGCGCGTCGGTCTTCAGGACGCATCAAAGGAAGCGAACATTCGCCGAGCACTTCAGCTGCTCGGGATTGAGCCAGCAGTAGCTCGCTACTCGGCGGATGCCGAATTTGTGGAGCCGCCTTTATATTTTATTCTAAAATAGAAGCGTGATTAAATTCGATTCTCTTCGAGTACATTACGTCAGTCGCTAGCGGTCTTCAGTGAACTACAATTAATTATCATTTCTGAAAATAATATTATAAAAAAACATTACCATTACTTTCTACAAGACTTCAACACGTATATAATACTCAGTGTATTAAATTCCAACGCGGATATGATGGCACACTAATTCGCCTTCAATAGTGCTGAGGATTAGAACGAAGATAATACATTTCTCTTCCATGATTTTATATTAAAGAATAATTCAAAATCATTGTATGAGTAATGGCATTGCAACAATGTAACATCAACGGATACTTTGTACCTTTTGAGTCCCAAACACATTTAAGGTGTATAATATTGCCAGAGTCGAGTACCTGACCTCTATCAACATTTTGTAATTTTCGACTTGCCACTTCTGAAACAAATTCTGGATTGCAAATAAATTGATAAACAAGTAGAACAATTTAAAAATTGTTTTTTTTGAGGTCGTGGGTATGTTGAGAAAGATATTGCTAAATGCCTATTGAGTTTCATCTTAAGAAAGTAGCACATATTTTTGAGAAAACATTGAAAATATTCTTAACTTCAACCACAGATGTAACTGCGCAGCACTGTTGGCCCTAGCATCTGGCCTGAAGAGTCGACACACTTTCCGCGGCTGGATCTGCCGCGGCGTAGACTCCTCGGCGATTTCTCGGTTTCGCGGATAACTAACTGTCCTCCGACTGCGTTTCCCATTTCCCGTTGCTCCTTGGCGCTAGGTGAGGCCTGAGGCACGGCGGGCGCGCTCTTCCCGTCGGAATCCATGTGCTCTCTCCGGAACCAGAGCAGACAGCGACTTTCCTTTGCCCAACGTTCGCCCCGAACAAGGGGGCGGCTCACTCGGCAGATGTTCACGAACTGTCAAGAATTGGAGGGGGCATAATGAAAACCCTAATAGTAATTATAATAATAATATTAATAATAATAATATTAATAATAATAATATTAATAATAATATTATTATTAATAATAATATTAATAATAATAATGTATATGTGGTAAGATTCTGGTCATCAGACCTGCTCTTCGGCCTAATTAGTCATGGGGGGGGGTTACCACCTTGCTGTGCTGCTGTTGGCTTCCCTCACAACAACGTATCTGACAACAGGGAAATGATTTGTCTCGTCAAAAAAAACCCTCATTTTATGTAATATTGTAGGAATACGGAGAAAACAATGTGGTTGATACCACGCGAATTATACGTACTGAGGTGTAAACTCAGGAAGACTGAGATGGTTCATTTAAAATGTCGTATGTTAATAACAGAACGAATTCGGAGAAATCAATTGTTACGGATTGAAG